GTTTTGTAATTACACAGGTAACTGTCCCCGGAGAAGGTGCACAATTTGTGACTTCTCTTCTAGATCTTGGACAGATCTTGGAAAGAGGTATAGAGTTCAGGTTCAATAGACATGGACATGATGGAAACAAAATACAATGATGAATAAAGAAAAAGATGTTATATGAAAAGAATGAAAGATCACTTACTCAATCAAGATTGATAAAAACAAACCATTCAAAAAATAACCCCTAAGGCAATTATAATGAAAAATATGAAGATATGAATAAAGAGATGTTTCAACATAAATAAAGAATGTCGAAAGCAAGAGAACATACAAAATTCAAAATAAATATATCAGACAAATCTAATGTGCAATCATTTCAGAAAAGATCATAGAGAAAAAGAATAAATAAATGAACATGATCGAATACTGAATATCCGAATGAATATCGAGCCTCATACTATGATTATGAGGTCTACTTTTAATTTGAATGACCCGATTGCGAAAGAGGTTGCCCATAGACGAACATGAAACCGCAATTCGCCAAAGAATTCACCTCCCACTCAACACCACTCAACACTGTGGGAGGTGAATTCTTTGGCGAATTGCAGTTTCATTTTCGAAATTGAATGACACTTACGCATTTCCAAATTGACTGAACCAAGCTTTAATTTAAATGTGCATGTTTAGAAAATTCGGTGACTCGAAACGAAATTGAATGCAACACGTTTAAAAATGAAACAGGGGAGCAACGAGTGGGGACAATTTGCTCGAACATGAATGCACGTTAATTGATTGCTGCTTTTACGAAGTTGGCCGGGAAAACCTAAAGTAATTGCTTTCGTAAGTCGCCACTCCATTATGATAATTGTATACCTGGATACGAATCTCAATTTAATCATTTTATACATTATTGATATGCGTTTCATAACGAATATGTGGTTGGTAATTACAGGAATGTATTTGAGTTGTTAATATTTTATGTTTATAATATGTACTATATATAAATATACATATATACACACATTACATTTTTCATTATGACGACATTACCTTGGATCGCTACTAGAATAGTACTATTTATTGTATTGTAAATAAGTTTGTGTGGCAAAAGAATTCACAAAGTTCATACAAAAGAAGCATCTATGTCTTGAAAGATCAAATAATTTTGGCAAACACTAATTGCTTTCGTAAGTCATAATTACATTATGATAATCTTTAGAACTTGATTACGAAACTCAATGTAATTATTTGACAGATTATTGATAAGCGTCTCATAAAGAAAATGTGGTCAGTAATATTAGAGGAATGTATAAGAGTTGCCTTTTAGTATTTTATGTTTATAATGACATTGTAAATAAGTATTTACGTTTTGTTTGGAAATACATGTGCATGTAAATCATCGACCACATGTAAAGGATGTATGTTCTCACTTTGTCCTTGTTGTCACAAATATTTTCAATTGGTTTAAGAGACGATTGCACCTAGAAACAAGATATAATGATAACTGTTTTTGTTTTATGGATATGCAGCTAAAATCAACATGTAGGAGTAATTGAAGGGAGTAGCTAAATTTAATGTCCAATCTAAAGGAGTCGAGATCCGCTCTTCGGGTACGTTTGTAGTTATATTGGGAATATCTTTATTTTAGAAAGAAAGTACGCGACGAAACACATACTCAGAAAGACTTTGCTTTGGGGTGGAACTGTAATTAGAGTAAATTCAAGTCCAGAACGATGCGGTCCCTCGTATGCCTCGTCCAAAGTGACCCATTGTTAAAATTAATGGAAACTTCAGTGTGTGTACATTTTAGTAACCATGTAAACACTATGTTATTAACACGTTCACGATAGTAATTTTTTGTAAGGGATACGACTGCCTTATACAGCATGTTGTCGTATTTTTAATAATACAAGGCGGTATTTGAGTATGCATGCATGTGTGTGCGTGCGTGTGTGTGTGATAGAGAGAAAATGGAAGCTGGGGGAGAGGGGGAGATGATGAGGAGTTGGTGGTGAAAATATACACAGCTAAACAAAAAAAGGAGGAAGAAAACAATGTATGTGCGATGATTTGCATAATATGCAATGGGGAAAAACGACAGCCAAATTAACAATTGGATTGAGAGTCAAGTGAATGTACCAATAATACAACACCTTCACAATGAACATTAGATCTGGTTTTATTGAAAAGGGTGCAACTGCTTCTGCTTCTGAAACATAATCTTCGGTAAAGATTTTGTCGGGGCACATTTTGTATAAAACTTTGATTTAAAGAGTCACACTCTTAAAATACACATTCTCGATCAGTCAAGGTAGTTTCCTAAGGGTTTTAGAGGGAAAGTCAGCCCTGGTATTCAGTTGGTTTTTAATAGAAGCAGAACAATGAGAGATGCAGGTCAGTGAAAGTTTGAGCAAAAACCGATAAGAAAAAAAGAAAGTTGTGATTTTTTTGAAGGTGCATTCAATCAAACACAAATTGGCAACTCTGTGACGTATCTTGCGAGGTCCCCTCTTATTTGATTTTCATCAATAAGTAAGAATAAGAAATTTATCAGACAAAAATGGTTTAAAAGATCTTTCATTTTATTAGAATATTCAAGAACTGAAGTGTAATTCGACATGATTTCTTTTAAAATAAATACTTGGCGGGAGGGGGGGGGGGCAAAATAAAATGTGGCTACAATTCTGGTCAAAATATCCTTTGCATCTGTTCATTAAACGTCACGAAAAGGTTTCCAGATTTATTTCCTGGATGTAAATTGTGATGGACGAAGCAAAGAATGACAATAAGGGGTTTGCATTGCCAAATTAAAAACAATGATATAGAGGTCTATAAAAAAAAATTGAAAAGCTGATAATGCAAAAGAGAAAAAAAATGTATTCATAAACAAATAATGAAAATCTGGACCACCATTCAGAAGAACCACATGCTTTAAAAGCCCATTCGTAAATTCTCACCATCCAAACAATTGATTTCTTTGTGGGTTTCACAAGACAACCTTGGTCTTTAAACATATGTAATAATATATCTATACTTCACAAAATGGAATGTGAAATTCTAGATTGAAATAATACTTTCCTCATGTGTATATTTTGTATAATGCTATATTAATTATCCTAATCGAGTGGAAGACAGCGACACAAAACTATATAATTGCTCATATCTAGTTTGAAAGTATAGTTTCATTTATTTACATATATAGTTACATGACTGTATAAACAACATTATTTTTGACGGACTACAGCAGGTTGGTTATTATAAAAGTCCCGCCCGTGATCATATCCAATATTAGCTGGGACATCACAGGAGAGAGACAGCCAAGAGACTAAAATGTAACTCCTGAGAACCCTCAGGCTAAAAACAGTCACAATACACTTATTAAACATTGATGGTTTTGAAAAAAATATTTATGCACAAAAACATGTTTCCACTCAACATTTAGATTTGACATATGACATGTTTCAATGAAACTGATACCATAGATAAGTTAAATTATCCATTATAGGACACCAAACTCAGGATGATTTGAGATTTTATTTGGATGTCAGTCTTCGGAACTCTATTTAAACACACCAAACATGGCCTTAATACAGTACTACACATACATGTATACAGTTCATACAGATATGGGCAAACACGTTGTTTTGGTAAAAAAGAGGTCAATTACGTTTGGTTGGTATAACTTCTTATACAAAATGAAATTCATCTTGACCACTCCATATATTCTCATTTAAAATCTGGTATATTCGACACTCAATATATTTGCTTACACCAATTTGTGCACTTTCTATGTAAACATTTGGATTTGCGAAAAATAAGTTACCACATTACAACCGAATATATCTTACTGTTAATGTCTCTTTGTTGTGTGATTCAAGCTATTTGATTGTTTACACCACCTGCAAGGGAAGCACATACAGTGAAACCTGTATATAAAGACCGCTTGAGTGAAACATGAAAAGTGATCTTCATTGGCAGGTGGTCTCAAATTAAGTACAAGTTCATTTTATAGTACAGGTTTGAATGAGAAACCGTATATTAAAGGGAGAACAAAAATTGGTCTTTATAGACAGGTGGTCTTTCTATACAGGTGGTCGGTAACGCAGGTTAAACTGAATTTCTCTCACTCGGTGCTGCGGGTCTGGACCTCGTTCAAATGACGAGCTCTAAGCTTTCACTCCTCTTGTGATACCTCTTTGGCAACATCCCAACTGCCAGCAGCTGAATACTAAAATATACACAAATTACTACAGAGGTTTCAATATACATGTACATAATCATACAGAACAAGATTACAAAAATATTGCGAGAGCTGGGGGAAACAATGAAAAATTGTTATAAAATAGCACCATTCTGTTGCAACAATGACAAATCAAAATTGAATCAAAATTAAAAACAAAATAATTGTAAATAAATAGCACCGTACCTCTGATAAGCAAATATGAATGTCCAAAGGTGTAATGGTACCTTCAAACAAATCCTATAATAAAGAGTACCGAAGCTGTGACATCATACAAATCTATTTTTTGAATTTCTCCTAATGTTATGAACCAGAACAATATAACACTGAGTTCCTATAGAAAATCTATTTATTCAGATGGTCATATCTCAGCTAATACTTAACATATTAAATTGGTTATCGACATTTGGACATTATTTTTTATGCTCTTTCGGAAAATGAAGAAAAACAATGAGAAATTCTAAAAATAGATTTTTGATGATATCACACTTCAACACTCCATAGCACTACAGGATTACAGGGTTACACAAATATATTTTTCATAATCTGAACTGGTTCTCGCCTGTAATACATAGGGGGTGTTTTATAAAGAGTTCATAAGACGCATGACTTTATGAACGACTTGTATATGAAGTGCCAGATAGGATGCCCAAAGTTTTTTCTGATATTTCCAATAACCTCAATTAAATTATGGCAAAAAATATACTTTGCATTAAATTTTTTTGTTATAATGAGAATGTTAATCTACATCTGCACAGTTTAACTTAATAAATAATAATCAATAATGATTGAGCATCCCATTTGGCTTTTCATATACAAGTCGTTCGTAAAGTCATGCGTAACTTTACGAACAGCTTTATGAAACACCCTCCTGTACTTGGGTTCTGCGCGTCGGGTTTTATGTTATTCTTCACTATCTTCATCTTCCTGTAAGACCATAGAATTCTGGATGAACTTTTCTGAAGCTTGATTTCATAAATTCTAGCTCTACACAAATTATCTTTAGATGATGGCTACACTTTAAAATAGTATGAAGGGGTGAATATAAATACACTACATGAAAGTAAGCACACAAAAAGATAGAGTTATACATAACTATCTTATATAAATATAATGAAAATAATAAATAAATATCTACCCTCAGTAGCAAAACTAATACTAAAGAGCCAGCTTTTACAAAAATACGACATGTTTCAGCGTGGAAATACATAGATGTTTTTCTCAACCCGTCATCAATGTATGTAGTAAGTAGAACTTAAACAAGCTAACATCTTTTATTCATATACCTAACACTACTATATAACATATAAATAACATATTGTTTTATACAAATAATATTACTTGAAAATATCATCAAACTTGGTCCTTATGGACATATGAACTTAACATCTTTTAACCCACCAATCACGAGGTGCAAAATTCAGCTGCACCTTAATAAGAGCTGGAACCTGATTGGATAATGTTCATAAACCTTGATTGCAATGTAGAATGTATTCATACACATGTTAAATTTTGAAATCAAAATACTTTTTTCCCTCTCATGAACATTTCTCTACTCTAGCTGCTATTCATTACGTGGTGCATGGTTAAATATTAATGCTGATAGGTTTCCGTTGTTATAAGAAATGAGAAGACATAAATATTTGAGAAAGGAAGCACTGATAAGTAGGGGTCTGGCTCATACAAAAAGGATTTCCAATTAAATTTCCAACAGGATTTCGGAACGAATTACCATGTTAGTTATCAGAGAACTCTGACCGGCCCTTAAATCTGCCAGTGCTGATAAAAGTACACTTGTTTTATGGTTTGATGGTGTGCTTTACCTGACTGCAAAGAAAGCATGTATGTGCTTGTAAGTAAGCAACCAGGGGACCGACGGCTTTAAGTCCTCTCTGAGGGACTTTGTAATGAGGTTTAATGCCTTTACCAAAGGGCAAGAGCGCAATGACTAGGTTTCGGACCCAGGATCTCCCGGTTACGAGACCACCGCTCTACTAGATACCTGTCTCCAGTATGTATCTGTTATTAACTGTACATATTACATTTTCTAATAAAAAAAAATGTCTTTCCCATCTCGAACATTTCTCTACTCAGTTGCTATTCATTATACAGTGCATGATGAAATACCAATGCTGATAGGCTTCCGTTGTAATGAGAAAAGAGGAGACATTTGAGAAAGGAAGCACTGATTATTCGGGGTCTGACTTGCAAAAATGATGTCCAATACATTTTCCAACAGGATACAGGATTTCGAAATGATACATCATTTTAGTTATAGTCCTCATTACCGGAGAGGTCTGACCGGGCCTCAAGTCGACCAGTGCTGTAATAAAAGTACAGTTGCAGGATGTATCTGTTGTTATAATCTCTGTCAGCATTTTGTTTCTTCCAACGTACTTGTTTTAAAGCCAGATCGGAATGATCTGGATCTTCTGTAGTTGGTTGAGTTTGGTATCGGCTCAAAATGGACTTCCCCAGTATGGTAATACCTGTTAGAAAAACAAATTATAATTATATGTTTATTTATATAGTAAGCAAATATTAATCGACTATGAGGGTAATGATACAAACTATCATCGCCGAGGTGATCTCGGGCCTACTATCATCCCGAGCCACGATTAGGCACTGTTTCTATATAGAGGGAGCAAGTAGCTACAAGTACATGTAGTACAGTGGGGCTTTAATTGAACATAATCATTAGAGTCTCATAATTGGCAATGCGGTGTGAAATTCATAATGCCTATTTCTGTCTACATTTTTTGTTGACTTTGCTAATATTTTTTCACATGGGTTACCTTCTTATAAGGGTTCATTTGATTTTTGTCTATGAAGGAGTAGAAAAATAAGGAAAAAATGGGGCCAATTAGAGGAGGAAAAAGTAGTGTATCTCACCTATAAACTATAGCTCCACATAAAATAGCTGCCAGTATGATCAGTCCCATGCATACAGCACCAACCACCCACTTCCATGTACCTGCAGGTCAAGATACAATATATTATCATCATCGTCTAGTGCCGTACCTTCGGAAGGGGTTGGCGGCTATGCACCTCCATTGCTTTCTGTCATGTTTTTAACAAATATATTGAAGATTGCCCTTTAAAACCCATAGGTAGTATGGCCTTCTAAACAAAGCGTCACATCGCAACAGCATCAATCCACTGTTATGTTCCTTCTTATTTTCATGTAGTTTACATACATGTAAAAACAAAAGAATATATATTATTTTTATTATTTATTTGGCAATTTCATACAAGTCATACATGCAATATACATAAAGTGAAAACGTAATTATAACATAGTAAAAGAACACAATGAACACTTATTAATTTGCAAGGGTGCTACCCCTAGCTGCCCGGAAAAGGTTAAGGTCATTCAAGTTTACTATGACCGGTAGGTCTTCCCTCCCGAGGGATGACTACCCCCTTAAAACGTCTATATAGTTCTATTGCTTTTTGCAACACAATGGCTTTCCATGACAAAAAATATTTTAATACTGGTATATAACAATTGTGTAATAGAAATTGATAATACAGAAATTGTGAACTAGAAATTAATACTATTTAATTTATGAATTGGAAACACTTGCATAATCTTCATCCTTTGGTATGTATATCCCATGATAAATACAATGTGGCACAGGGATATTTTCGGTGTGGCATGCAAGGAGTTAAAAACACCTGTACTCACCTCTTTTAGACTGGTATGGGCTGGTGTCTGAATCATTGTCATCCACAGCTATCCCTCCAGAAGGGGTGGTACCTGGGACATTGATAGGGACACACTTCAACATACCTGATAAAGAGAGAGGAATCAGAGATTAGATTTTATTTTATTTTATTTATTTATTTACCTGATAAAGAGAGAGATCTGATTTGATTTGAATTGATTTATTTATTTCTGTTTGATTTTATTTTTATTATGCAGTTTTACAAATAAGTAACAAACAAAACATTGCAAATTTTACACCATGACAAACAAATATATGTAGAATAAAGTAAAACTGGCTGTAACTAATCGAAAACATCAAACAGGAGAGTTGACAAAGTAAGCAATTACTTCTCTAGGGTGGAGAGTAGCAAATTTACAATAATGTATGGCAAAAGGAAATCAGTGTCTTGACAGGGTTTTGAACCTGTGCTTCACAGTTCGGGACTTGTCTACTAGACCTGGCGGGTGTTTATGCCACTGTTAGCTCTCACCATTTACTGGCATCGGTCTTTCAAGGGACGTACAAACCTTGGTCACAAATATACAGAATTAACATTTTTTGATAATTCATTATTGAAGGAAAAATATTATCTAAAGATCATAATGGTGAGAGCAAACAGTGGCATGAACAGCTTGCCATAGTTAAGTCCATCTTAAAGTCGCTCTTAGTCTTAGTCTTTGTGTCCCCAGGACACAACCACAATGACTTACCATCGACTGAATAATAGCCTGGTCTGCAGGTACACTCTCTTTCTGGACTGCACATAGTGTGTGGGAAAGGGCAATGTGTATCTACTATACAACCAACAGACGGATAACATGTCCTCCCATTACCTGTATCACACAAACACAAACAAACAAATAAAAAAACAATATATTTTTTTTCCTGTTACAATGAATTGTACTAATTTGTTTTAAAGCCCCTCTGTACTAGTTTGGCTAGGAGGGATTGTATCACCCAGGAAGGTCAATGGCAGGTGGCTATTTCATCAACTCAGCTCTCAAATAACATAAGAAAAAGAGGATCATGGGGGACCAATGGCCAGCAATTAGGCAATGTTTTCTATATAGAGGGAGGAAGTAGCTACAAGTAGTACAGTGGGCCTTTCAAAGGAAGAAGAAAAAAGTGTACCGGTATATAATAACATTTAAGAGGGTTTGTATACAGATGTTAACTGGTAGAGTGTGTGATATAACATTTTTTTCCAGGAGTAAGGGGTTATTCCTTTGTTCCTTTCTCGATCCGAAAAAATACAATCAAAATGCTACCTGAATCTTACGTTCTTCTTTATTTCTGTAAGGTTATTTTATAACCTTTCTGTTCACTCGAACATTTAAAATAACATAAGAAAATTTTCTGTAAAGCAATATTCTGAAGAATTTCTATGTCAAAGTATATGATGTATTATGTATGTTAACTTATTTTGATTCTTTGTACGTTTGTAAAATGTGAGCAAAACAAATTTCCAACATTGAACAATAAATTGAAATTGAATTGATTTTTGATATTTTCCCAAACTGCTGCACACTTCGGGCAAATTATGATCACAAGAATTAAATCTAATTTCTTACCCAGGAATCCGGCGGCACACTTGCAGACCCCATTATCACAATAGCTTCCTAGAGAGGTACACTCAGGTATACAGTCTAGAGATGAGGGTGGTTTATGGGTCTCATCACATCCACCTTCCACAACCATAAGATTACCGCTCGGATCTACAGGCAACAGATACGAGACAATTATAAAACAATAGTCACATTTGTATAGTGCGTTTGTGTGAAATTGTTTTTTTTTACAGACGTGTATCAAAGAGAAATGATTATTTAGGTCTGGGGCCCGACCTTTAACATCACCGTCTGAAAGACGCGACGCAGTTTCGAACTTGGGTCGCCTGAACCAGTATGTAGGCGAAGACAGAGAGCTGACTAAGTTAACGTACCGCTAGATCAACTCATATTTCCCATTTGTATAGTGCTGAATACTATGTTACGAAGCGCTTTACATTGTAATTATCATTACCCAGGTCATTGGATTCAGTTGCTAATTCGCACATGATAGCACACATGCTCATCTTCATGGTGGGTGTTCTAGCCAGATGCCATTTAACAAGCACATATTCTGCTAGGGAGCTGTCTTAAACTCAGGTGAAAAACTTAGCCAAAAGCTGTAACTGAATACCAAAGTTGGCGAAATATTTTATGATACTTGTATTTCTGACACATGTTTTTAATTGAATACCGGCCCAGTCACTCACCCATTGTTTCACACCAGACGTCCCTGGATCTTGTAGCCCTGTCCCACTGCCCAGCTCCCCATCTAAACATGGGGCACGTTGCACTATCAGCTGGGCAAGATCTACATCATCGACAAAGGAAATGGTGGAAACATTCTTATTTTTATTTGTTTTCCAAAGAAAAATTATTTCAATCATTCTGGAGCAAGAACAAAACAATACATTTGAACTAAGTACATGTGCCATATCAGTTAAACAAATATTGTTGCACATGTCTCCATTTATCAGGTCTTACAACAAATTTATTGCGTTTGATTGAAAGAACCTGCTCAACTTCTTAACAACGTTTAAGCATCTTCTTAAAAGAATTCAAAGATAGCCGTTCCCTTTTGTATTTCGCAGAGAATATATAGTGTTTTGCATATAAAATGACAAAATTAAAGATAGATTGCGTATCATCTGGGAGTCCAAACAAAAATCAGTGGTGGAAACATTGCACTTGGGTCAAAGAATCTTTAATGCCTGAGACATTTAGCCTTCCGAATGGTGGAAACATTGCATTAGAGAAAGTTTGAGGAATGTCCAAAAGAAAATTGGTAAGTTATGAATTTTTGAAGTTGCCATCAGTAAAACACAAGTTGGCAACACTGTGACATATTTTGTACAGAAAACTCATGAAGTTTCATTTTCTTACAAAATTGAATTGTTTTCATACAGGGGTTGTATACAAACATATTTCCAATAACTATATTTAGGGTGAACATATAAATATTTCTGCTTCTATTAAACTCATCTTAATATCAGGGTATCCTTCCCCCTATAAAGTTATAGGTCTCTTGGTTTAATACTTCATTAAAGGCTTACACATGCTATTCAAGCAGTCTGGTAAAAAAAACAAAAAAACATTATAATTAACAATTCAGTTTCTTTCTTCGCTTCTCTGGACCATGGTTCCTTTGCAATTTTGCATACCGTAAACAAATAGGCACCAATTGACAGACAGAATTACTTTGCGACATCATCCATTTCTGATATTTATAAGCTCCTTGAACACTTTTTAGCACCAGTATATAATCTAATCTTGCAATGGAAATGGGGTTAACAATCTAGAAGCCTTTGGTTTATCTATCCCATGTAAAAAATACAATCTGGCACATAGAGATTATTCATGTGACATATGAAAAGTCAATTTAATTTCAAGACACAAGTTCTAGCTTGATGAAATTGAATTTGTCAATGATTCTAAATAAAGTACCTTGAACTGATGAGGTTTGTAGTACATGGTTTGCCTCCCATGACAGACGGACTGGTAACAACTCTTATTCTTGTCCTCTGCCCGCTGATACTGGAGTTGAAGCAGTTGGCGGTACAAGATGTGTACTGTGACCACTCTGACACCTGGAAAACAATGAATACATAACAGAAATACATAAAGCATTATGTAAATATTAACTATTATTACTATATGATTGTTATTAGGAATTTGTTATTAGAATTATGTATCATGTATTATATTGTTGTAATTTTTAGGTTAACATTACTTTGTATTTGTGTTTGTTTTGTTACGTGCTTAGAAACATTGTAAATGTAATATATTATTATTGATATATTATTGATATATTAGTAAATGAGATTTATAGTAATACTGGGTTCTTGTTAAGCGCTCATGTCTGTCAGACCTGACACTCCTGGCGCTCCACAATTTTATCCATTTTAAAATGGCTATCAACATGGTGCTCTAGCATTTCAAGGAGTTAATTCCTGTGAGGTTCCCTTTTACCTCACCAGGGTTGAGGGTGGCAATATACATCAATGTCTTGCCAGAGGACATTAGTGCTGCTGTGTGACTTGAAATGCTGACCAATTGATCCATAGCCTCGACCACGATATCTCTGCACAAAGCTTTAAAGCCCCATTGTACTACTGATAGCTACTTGCTCCCTCTATATAGAAAACAATGCATAAGCGGTGCCCGTTGGTCCCCCATGATCCTCTTTTTGTTATGTTAATTGAGAGCTGAGTTAATGACATATCCACCAGTCAGTGACCACGCTTGGTGGTCTAATCCCCCTGGCCAAACTAGTACAGACAGGCTTTAAGGTTCTTTCTAACCATACTAGAAGGAAGTCAATTAATTTCTTACTGATCATTCCAAAGTAATCAACAGTGCATGTGCATAACACAAATGTCTATCTGTAAGTACATTTGTTCGTACATTGTAAATAACACTTGTAATTTGAAGCAAACATAAGATAACTTCATAATAATGATTTATTTATTCAAAAATATGCATAGCTAACTTGTACAATATCTTTACGAAAGTATTTAAAAGGAGAAAAAAAACAAAAACTATAAAGAATAATAATAATAAAACAATACGCAGGTGTAAATTATTCCTGAATGTAATACCAAAGAGCACACCAATCCCTTTTGGCTCAGAGCGGCAAAAAACATGACAATATAGGAGCATATTTTTTTTTTCTTATATTTTTAACACAACATCACCGCCATTCTGATATGTGCCATGTGTTTTTTTACCATAAAAATCAAAATTGAATAGAATTGAATTTCATCAAGTATTATTAATCACCTCTAAGATATTTCATACATAATGCAATGTCCTTGTAGCAATCAAATGAAAGAAAAAAGTTAAAAATTATCTATTATCTGTTAGCTATTGTAAAAATCAATTTTTTATGATTTTTCAAAAAAAATATTGTGGCACAGAATAAGTTGAAAATAATCTTACAACACAATCTCCAGGACACCATGTAATACACTGGCGAGAAGTGGCTAAATCCAGTTCAGACCGGTTGAAAGTGGATCCAAGTGGGTTGACCACATCTACATCTCCATTCATAGCTATATATATGCATAAAAGAGATCATTAAAAGAAGACTGAAGAAATGTTCGTCAGGAAATTTAATAATTCATATATTTATTAATTTGTTTTCTTTTACTTCTGTAATTCTTTCATTCATTATTCATGAATTCATCATTGATTCATTCCTTTCATTATTCATTTACATATTATCTATTGTTCACATGTGCATTCATTTTTCAATCAATTTTTTGTAATATGTTTTTTTTCTAAGTTATCTATGTATTCATTCATTCATTCATTCATTCATTCATTCATTCATTCATTCATCACTCACTCACTCAAAACTCATTCATTTCCTTCATTCTTTTATTCATTTATTCATTTTGTTAAATATGCAACTTGTATGTACATGTATACCTTGAAACACCTTAAAATCTGATCCATTCACCAATAATCCGGGCTGCCGTTGTCACAGTTCAATACTCACCATTGAGGTAGCAGTACTCCCAGTCTACAGTAAGACCATCGCTGCGTTGACATTCGACGAGCCTCGTCTCGTATCCAACCCCACAACCAGCTTTGCTGTCAAATTGGCAACCGCTCCAGTTTCCTCTGTACCATTGATAGGTGAAGCAAGGCTTGACGTTACAAGGTCTCGTCTGGAATCAAATAATTGGGTAGAAAAAAGAATTGGGTAATATTTTACTCCAACTCAGGCTACATGACATCACATAGTTTCTCTTGAATAAACTCATAAAAGGATCAGCCCTGGTGAGATACCTGGCTGGAACTAGGAATTAATTCCTTATACAAGTAACATTGATGATAATGAAGCACCAGGAGAGCATATTTACAAAATTCTACTTCTACTTCTACTTCTACGTCTACATCTACTTTTCAAGTTTATGTTGATTTCCTTTTTTCTTGTAATTATTTACTTGTAATATTATATATCTGAATGATTTGTAAAGTTCTTTGTATTACTGATCTACATTTATTTATATTCATAATTTACCAATTTCATTGTACTCTGTTGAATAATGTTGATAATCATGTTGAAAATGTATATATTATATCAATCCAACCCTTCGGTTGCTACAAATAAATAAACGATATATATACTACTACTTGTACTCCATCTCCTTCTTCTCCTTCTCTTCCTCCTTCACCTTCATCCTTCTTCTTCTTTATTATGACATACATGTACATATATCATGTGCATAATAACAACAAGAATAGCATAAACTAGGACAAACAGCCCAAACACTTTTGCACGGAGTTCCGTGTCTCACCTCGTTCAGACTGTGTGCGTCCTGACACCGTCGACCGTTCCCAGAGAACAGGGTGACAATCTTGCGTGTCTTGAACGTGATGCCATGGGTTCCGCAGAACGCACTGCACCGTGACCGGGGTGTGAACGCTCCCAGCTGGCAGTCTACGGGGCATTCTACCATGCACGTCTGGTGGGCCGTGATGTTCTCATGCTGGCAGAGGTTCATTGTGACAGGGACGTTGGCAGCGTTGACACAGTTTAAAGTGCGGAATCTGGTTCCTTCGGTCAAAGAAAAAGGGGCATCAAGGTAAATGGTGATGGTGATGATGGTGTTGATGATGATGATGATAGTGGTGATGATGTTGATGATGGTGATGATGGTGGTGATGATGGTGATGATGGTGATGATGATGATGGCCGTGATGATGGTGATGATGGTGGTGATGATGTTGATGATTGTGATGATGATGTTGATGGTGATGATGATGATGATGGTGTTGATGGTGATGGTGATGATGGTGATGGTGATGGTGATGGTGATGGTGATGGTGATGGTGATGGTGATGGTGATGGTGATGGTGATGGTGATGATGGTGTTGATGATGATGATGATAGTGGTGATGATGTTGATGATTGTGATGATGGTGTTGATGGTGATGATGATGATGATGGTGTTGATGGTGATGGTGATGATGGTGATGGTGATGGTGATGGTGATGGTGATGATGATGATGATGATTTTTATGATGATGACGATGGTGTTGACGTCGATGATGCTGGTGATGATGATGAGGCCAAAAAAAAAAAATTGTTTGGTTGTCCTCGATTGCTATTCTGGAGTAGGGGCGGGAGGGCAGATTTTTGGGGTTTTTTTTTTGGCCTGATTGTGATATTGATAATAATGGCATTAGAAATGGTTATGTTGTTGATGATGAAGATGGCGATGTGATATGAGTATGTTGATGACGGTGGTGATGAAGATGGTTATGACGTTGACAATAGTGATGATGATGATGATGATGACAACAAGGATAATGACTGCGAGAGAATCCAGCTCTTATTCATCTCCAGTGAAAGAATATATAATTAGATAACATTAAGTCTCGATGGCCACTCTAGCCCGAAGTTGCCATTAATTTAGACGCTGTAAAACAAAAGGTACAAATAGGTTTAGCGCTTCATATCTGAACGAGCTTTCAAATTACATATTCAATTTTACCTCTTCCACATTCTCCCTGAATGGGTCTGCATGTGCTCCATTCTCCAGTCGCCAGCCCGTAGACAGACGCCAGGCAGTCCTCCTGAGAACACGTCTCAGTCTGCCTGAGTGGAGTGCAGGGCTGTAGCTCGGCATCAGGCCTTATCACAATCCTGCTTCGTGATTTCTCGGCATTCGCACACGGCTGACTGCAGCTCGTAAACGCAGACCACTCGCTGTATACGCATTCACCTGTATCAGGAATTATATAGAGGGCAAATTTTTTATTCAAGGCATGTACATTTTGTCAGGTGCCTTATGATAAATCCTTGCAACACTATTTCTAAATTTTTTCCTTTTTAGAAAGTGAATAAATCAAGTCACATTCATAATTTCAACTTAAATGAAAGGTGTTTTTTATAAATCCTTGCAACGCTATTTTCCAAAATTTTCCTTTCTTGAAAGTGAATCAATCAAGACATATTCAGAATTTCAACTTTAATGAAAGGTGTTTTTTTATAAATAGATTAAACCTCTACAATCCTTTTTTTTTTTCTTGCCATAACAAACGGCAAGACTGCTCACAGCTGGTTCGGGGGAGTGTTTCACTAAGACCTTAAGTCGAACTAAACTCTAAGTTGGACTTAAAATTATGGAGAGCCATTTGTAGTATAAAAATAATATATATTCATAAGTGAAAATTCAAGTATTTTTTGACTTTTTATAAATTCCACATCAAGAACATGAAATCTCCTTGATAATAGAAAATATGAATGATTTGAATCAACATTTTATGCCTTTTCAAATAACTTACAAAACATTTTCATAGATGCTAACTGCTTTCCATAATTTTCAAGTCCATCTTAAGAGATAAATTCAACTTAGGATCTTTGTGAAACACCCCCTGGAATTGCAGACACAAACGTTAGCTGTTGTATGAAGCAACTTTCAGATATCTTATTTATACGAAAGGCAGATTCTTTACAAGCCCACACTTTGTTTATTTACCTTGGCAGGGCAAATGACAAGCCTGTGTCAGAGCTGGTTTTGCTTTTCTCCTCTGACATAAACTTTCATTCTCTGCTCCGACTGGACAACTGATGTTCCTAGACTGAGTTCCGGCTCCACAGTTTGTTGTTAGATCTGTCGGTAGACAGGGTCTCCACTGATAGAGAAAATAGAAATATTGTCACATTATTTTAATAAAATGTAAAGATTACCTAATTATTTAAGATTAGAAAACAGGAGATCTGAATCCTGTATTTGTATAATGCTGCTTTTTTAGAAAACTCTTCTAACATACTCACGTTAATATTTGTTTAGCCTGAAATTTATATTCCCTAGTAATTCTGAGATTAAAAAACATTGTTTTTAACCTGATGACTACCGTACTAGTTATCAGTTTCTATAGTAATGGGCTACAGTAATTTACACATCACGAAAATGCGTTAGCTTATGGTTACTATTGTTACGTTTTAAAGGTAAAGACCAGTTCTGGTCATGCGATTGCATTGTGAAAGAAACGTTGTGGAATCGATCATAAAAGGTTGATCATCTAGCATCTAGCATCTGCAAGGTTCTGGAATCATCAAAATGATAAGAAATTTGGCCCATTCTTCGTAAAGTTACAAGCACTATACACAGAAAGATGTATATGGGACTACCCTATATCTCTCACAGACCATGAGAGAAACAAATTTAACAAATATATGAATTAGAAGGCGGTTTCCTGGCAAATTTTTTATCACATGATTGGTAATGAGAGCTTCCATTTCATTTTTTGAAATTGGGGCGTTTCCAATACTGGTCTTTACCTTTAAGAATTATTTGAGAATAATCTACTTGCTCACAAAGTTTGAGTGCAACCCAATCCAGATGTTATTTTCATTGAACATGCATTTACAAATGAAACAGAGTGCTAAATGAGCAAAAAGTAATATAAATGTTCCAGTAATTACAACATAAAAGATAATTTCCTGGTAAACAAAACTGGCAAATTACAACTTGATAACATTAAAATCTTACAGTTAAAATATCTATTCATCAAAGTATCAATTCCTTGAAAATTCTCCCAGGAAGCCTAACTTTCAAAATCAATTTCTTTGTGAAGGTCCCATTCATCAGTCAATAGTATAACGCTGCCTCTGATAATATATACCTCGGAAATGTCCCATTCTATAAGGTCACATGATCTCTCGAAGCACATATGTGTATCAGTCAACAGAGGGCAGGCTCTACCTCCCTGAATCGGACTGATCATAATTGCCCTGGTTCTTGTTCTCTCCCCTGTAAAACCAACACATAAAAATAAGACATATGTATCTGTTTCTGTTCATTCATTAATTTTACCTTTATGTATCATTATTACTTCTTGTTGTGCAATAAGTTGTAATATACATGTACATGCACCCTTTAAAATGATATTTTCTTGATAAATTCAATTAAATTTCAATTTCAATTTCCATTACAATATTCCAATTTCAATTACAATTTCCATTTCCATTTCCATTTCCATTTCCATTTCCATTTCCATTTCCATTTCACTTTCACTTTCACTTTCAATTTCAATCTCAATCTCAATCTCAATTTCAATCTCAATCTCAATCTCAATCACAATCACAATCACAATCACAATTTCAACTTCAATTTCAATTTCAATTTCAATTTCAATTGCAATTTCAAGTTCATTTTCATATTCAAATTCAACTTAAAAAGTATGACTGCTGACTACGCTTTGGAAACAACCACAGCAATGTAACCTACTAGTCAGAGAAAGTCAGAGAATCGGACAGAGAAGTGGAAATTTGGTCAGTGGACCTACCTTGACCACAAGCCTGTGAGCATGATGTCCAGTTAGACCAGTGAGTGACCTCACAATCAATGGAACACTGGACGTTACAGGGTCGTTCTTCTAACGGTCCAGCCTGGGAGGGGTACAAAGGCTCACAGAAGAGATCAGCAACCTGGACATTGTCATCCCTGAGACAGATGGCTGCTCGGCTCTGCTTCCCTTCATCACCACACTTCAGTCCTGCATCAAAACATCAATTCAAGTGATTTCAATTAACTGAAATGGAAATTGGAATTGAAATTAAAATTGAAACTGAACTTTCTAATTCAGAATTAAAAATTCAAAAATTCAAATTCACCTTTAGGCCTACATGTTATTTCAAATTCATAATTCAAATTCAAAATACAATTCAAATTCAAAATTGAATTCTAAATCCAAATTAAAAAAATGTCAAATAAAACATCTCAATTCAAATCTAATTCAAATTCAAATTGAATTAGGCCTACATGTTAATTCAAATTCAAAATACAAATCTAATTCAAAGTCGAACTCAAACCTGAAATCTCAAAATTCAAAACTCAAAATTCAAATTCAAATGTATGCTCCTGGTGATTGACTGATTGATTCCATGGTTTCACAAACATTCAGCTAAAGTGCTGGTGATCCACCTGCCTATAAAGACTTGTTGTGTCTCTCTTGAGTGGTCTTTATAAACAGTTTTCACTCTAATGAAGCAATAAAATAATCTTTGAAGTACAAGACAGTGTTCAACAAACCTTCAGCCAGTGTGCAGGTAGTCCAAGGTCCAAACGTCCAAGAGTAGGTGGATGATTGCAAGCCACATAGAAGGAACTCATGGAGATCACTATCTGCTATGTGAGGACAAAGCTCACTCAAGCTTTCAGTCATCGCTGCAAAATATGAACAATAATAATTATGATAATGGTAACATAGAGTACCGAAGCTGTGTCATCATAAAAATTTATTTGTAGATTTTTCCGAAAGAGCATAAAAAAAAATGTCCAAATATCGAAAAACCTATTAAATATGTTAAGCATTAATTTGGCTGAGATATGACCATCTGAATAAATATATTTCCTATAGGAACTCAGTCTTATACTGCTCTGGTCCGTAATGTTATGAACCAGAGCAAAATAACACTGAGTTCCTACAGGAAATATATTTATTCAGATGGTCATATCTCAGCCAATGCTTAACATATTATATTGGTTCTCGACATTTGGACATTGTTTTTTATGCTCTTTCGGAAAATGAAAACAAAATTGAGAAATTCTAAAAAATAGATTTTTGATGTTGTCACACTTCACCATTCTATTGCGTTCTTATGTTACGCTCACATTTCCCAGACTTGACGATCCTGACACTCCACATTGATTGTTATTATTATTAGTAGTAGTGTTAGTATTATTAATAATAGTAATATTATTCATCGTTATTACTACAGTGTATCATCTTAAACAATATCATTATCATCAACTTACAAACACCGACAATGTCTCTCTTTCTCATCCTGCAGTAGTTCCTGAGAGACTCGGTGCCACAGTTACTCTGACATGGTCCAAACTCAGACCATTCTGAGAGAAGACAATCACCACCACAAGGAATATAGCATCGCTGGGTTGGGGTGGGTGAGGGCTGGGTAAAGTCCAGAAGACACATGCCTAAAAAGGGACGACAAGAAAATTAGTTTAAAGAGAAGGTTGCGTTCTGGAAAAGATGGGGAAAATTGATGAACTGTCTCATTCTTGGTCTAACATGTAGCATTTCTGGGTAGGGGTGGGTGGGGCTGGGTGATGTCTTGAAGACCGAATCCGGACACCTATCCCCTGGACATCCACCCCCTAGGACAACCGCCCTCTAGGACGACTACCCTCCCGGGACAACTACCCCCCCCCCCCCCCCCCCCCCCCCGCCCCCCGGACAACTACCACCCGGACAACCACAGCCTAGGATGAAGACACATGCTTGATGGAATGAGATATAAGTTCAATCCTAACGATGACACCTTGTTTTTGAATGAATGTCATCTCAGGATTGATATTTGGACTCAAAATTTAAATATAAAAAATACCTCTGCAATTCTAAATAGTCATATCAATCTAAAAAATAATTATTATTATGTTTCAAATCGCAATTATGTTTTCATCGGTCAATTTAATCTAATTATAAAACAAGACATTTGAAGGGAGAGTCCACCCTGAGGATGGGTTTACTCCGCCTTTACTTGGCCACACACATTCTCAGGGTGGACTTCCCCTTCATTGCTACCGGGGCTAGACTCGATAAGCTTCGCTTTTTCTAGCCCCATCTACATTACTCACCTTTTTATGTTGTAATGTTGATGTTTGTTAACCGATGTAGATTTTCATTATTCTGTTATGCTTATGTATCTGTTTTTCATTTGCTCTATGTGTCAAATGTATAAAATGTATTTTCTTACCTTGTATATTCTTCTGGTTTTTAATGTGGAAAATAAATGAAATGAAATGAAATGAAAGGAAATGAAATGAAATAATTGTTTCATGGATCAATAAAGTCTACAGAATTTTTATTTTTTTATTAATTGAAAATGGATATGTTTATCTAAAATTGTTTTCTCGTTACTAATATATTATCTGGGTTTTTTTCATGTAACTTGCACATTTATTGTTGTCCCACCTTGGTTTGAATATTTTGGATGCATTTAAATGCATTTAAATTACAAACATTATTTTCTGAGAAGTAACACCTTACTATTTCTAATTCTGGAAGAAAATACCAAACCTTTAAAACAAACAGGGTGTCCCTGTTTAACCACTTCACCGTTTTGTTCACACTGTACCACTCTGTGCTAAGGCATTTTGGGACACACAGAAATCTGAACATACAACTCACATCTCTGATTTTCTTTTTGTGAAAGAGCGCCATCTACTGTTTGTATTTTAAAGTTGCATATTCAGGTGCTAACACCATCCTAGGGGTAGGTAAGGTGCAGTGCTAACAATTAGAATGTGGAGAAGACGTAGCACGTATTAGTACATGCTTAGCACAGAGTGTCACATCTGCATGCACGCAATAGTATGTGGTTAGCAATCAAGTGGTTAAAGCAAAACTGAACATGAAATGAACAAACCATCCTCTGCTTCAAGCCCATCGTTGCGCCCGCAGTAGACCTCTCTGGTCTGTAAGCCCTTTCCGCAGTTTGACCCTATGACCTGACACTCCGACCAAGCACTGGCCACCCACTGGTAGGTGTAGCAAGGGTCGATGTCCATGCAGGGACTGTACTGGGTAATGAGACCTGAACAAGATAAAGGAATTCATGATTTAATTGATTCATCAATTAATCCATATAACAGATAAAAAAATAACTTTGTTATTTCTTATTGAACTTTCACAGATCTGTTCCTATCACTTTCTACTTCTATTCAAACCAACTTAAAGGTAATGCAAAGTTTTGTGAAATTTTAAAAATTGGATGGATAGTAATTCTTGAAAGTGTTGATATATTTGGATGCCCCTCTGGATGTATTATAATCACTAGAAAATTTAGCCCCTATAACACTTCTGCCTTTCGAGAAATTGAATAATCAGAATTTACCGGTGCTCCCGATAAATTTCAAATAGCGTTTAAGGCCATTCTATGGTAGCTGCGACCATCAAAATCTCAGAATATGTAGTACTGATATATAATATCGAAATGAGAATATCAAATCAGTTGATTGAAGTCAAGAAACATTGTTTTACATGACGAAAACAGTCCATTTAAACTTCACCCCACTTTGGACCCGAAAGTGGGGTGCATTTTGGTGGTAAGCTCACCACAGAGTAATCTGCAGTATAAACAAACTTTGCCAGGACATCGCCAGCCCAACCTTGATAAGTACTGCTTGGAACTCCTCCATGATGTTCTAGTCTTATTCGCAGTCTCATATAGGTTCGGATTATGTCCATTCTCATAGCTACCGGTATACATGGGAGATGCCAGTTTCATCTTCCTTGCTTCACTTTATATCAGGAACTTCTTGGTTATAATTATGTTCCTTTCAAGTTTCATCATAATTGTCTAGTTCGATATAGTACATGGACACAATTAAATTTAATATCATGACGAGAAGTGCGTCAAAAATATCTTAACATCGAAATGATTTCTGGTCATGTTTAACTATTTTAATTGAAGCCTTTTTACTTGATCTAATACTTTTATGAGGATGACATAGTCCGCAATAAACTTGACAAACATTATCATCCATACTATATGTCGTTGTTTATAACAATAATTACTCATGAACCTCACACTACAAGGACAACATTCATCCAGATTCTGAGATTGCTCATTCTCACGAAGCTTGGTGTACGCGAAGATATCGGGAAAGAAAGCGGTCTGTAATACCAGACACGCAAGTGGGGTATTTCGGTCCCCGTTCACCGAAAAGTGAGATTCTCCATTTGAAAGTCGGGTAAGGTCGACAAATATAGCCTCTGTTAAAGGCGTTACTCCGCCACCAAATTTATTCGCATAGACCAAATAATCTCGAACGCGTTTAGAAAAATGGTGTAGGCCTAGGCCTATAAGGAAAGGCCGGGAAAACATACATTTTGTTGGTTTGACCGTTAAATATTTTTGAGGTATTAAAGCAAGAATAGAATGTTGTAAATATTGTTTTCGTTACATTTATTCTGTGCGTAATCTCAAGGTCTACTCAACTTTCTTTGCCTATTTCTTGCCCCCCCCCAAACGGCAGATCAAGGATTTGAAAATAGGGAGTGGCCGCGGGGGCTCAGACGTCAAATTTGAAATAGGGGGGGGGGGGTGGTTGTTTAGGCAGACGGCATATTTCTTGGAATTCGTTATAAAGACGGTATTTAAAAAAAATTATGTTTCTGGCAAGATAAGAATTGAATTTCATCAAACTTTTATTCGATTTAATATGATCTGTATACGTATAGGATACAATATTTATTTCCCCACAACACATCAAGCCGTGATGATTGAATGTCCATTGCATGTAACACGAAAGAAACAGAAACTCTCAAATCTACAATCCTTTAGAAAGATAATAATTAGCCGAGTAATTAGGGCATTACAAGACATCGAAGGACTTAATCTATTTTACAATAGTTGATGCAACCATAATGGAATATTATGCTTCTCGATACCAAGGATATGAAATTTCAGCACAAGTGTATTTGGTTTCAAAATTTTATAGCAGTTCGTTAAAGAAACATTTCGATGCTCACTTGTATAATAAATCTCTATGACAAGCTCATTTTTATTACGACAGTTAAACCTTTTCACTTTTTGATACTAAAGATTGTTGAAGAATTGCCTAATTGACTGCTCGGATGATTTTTTACCTTTCTCCGAAACCTCTTGGTTTTTTGCTCATGATTATAGCGCATTATTCTTTATGTCACGGTATGTATTAATAAGCAAATACATATCTGCACAACGAACGTCTTTATAATTATTATGTCCTCGTTTCGTTGTATGTTATAAATTTAATATCATGACGAGAAGTGCGTCAAAAATATCTTAACATCGAAATGATTTCTGGTCATGTTTAACTATTTTAATTGAAGCCTTTTTACTTGATCTAATACTTTTATGAGGATGACATATTCCGCAATAAACTTGACAAACATTATCATCCATACTATATGTCGTAGTTTATAACAATAATTACTCATGAACCTCACACTACAAGGACAACATTCATCCAGATTCTGAGATTGCTCATTCTCACGAAGCTTGGTGTACGCGAAGATATCGGGAAAGAAAGCGGTCTGTAATACCAGACACGCAAGTGGGGTATTTCGGTCCCCGTTCACCGAAAAGTGAGATTCTCCATTTGAAAGTCGGGTAAGGTCGACAAATATAGCCTCTGTTAAAGGCGTTACTCCGCCACCAAATTTATTCGCATAGACCAAATAATCTCGAACGCGTTTAGAAAAATGGTGTAGGCCTAGGCCTATAAGGAAAGGCCGGGAAAACATACATTTTGTTGGTTTGACCGTTAAATATTTTTGAGGTATTAAAGCAAGAATAGAATGTTGTAAATATTGTTTTCGTTACATTTATTCTGTGCGTAATCTCAAGGTCTACTCAACTTTCTTTGCCTATTTCTTGCCCCCCCCCCAAACGGCAGATCAAGGATTTGAAAATAGGGAGTGGCCGCGGGGGCTCAGACGTCAAATTTGAAATAGGGGGGGGGGGTGGTTGTTTAGGCAGACGGCATATTTCTTGGAATTCGTTATAAAGACGGTATTTAAAAAAAATTATGTTTCTGGCAAGATAAGAATTGAATTTCATCAAACTTTTATTCGATTTAATATGATCTGTATACGTATAGGATACAATATTTATTTCCCCACAACACATCAAGCCGTGATGATTGAATGTCCATTGCATGTAACACGAAAGAAACAGAAACTCTCAAATCTACAATCCTTTAGAAAGATAATAATTAGCCGAGTAATTAGGGCATTACAAGACATCGAAGGACTTAATCTATTTTACAATAGTTGATGCAACCATAATGGAATATTATGCTTCTCGATACCAAGGATATGAAATTTCAGCACAAGTGTATTTGGTTTCAAAATTTTATAGCAGTTCGTTAAAGAAACATTTCGATGCTCACTTGTATAATAAATCTCTATGACAAGCTCATTTTTATCACGACAGTTAAACCTTTTCACTTTTTGATACTAAAGATTGTTGAAGAATTGCCTAATTGACTGCTCGGATGATTTTTTACCTTTCTCCGAAACCTCTTGGTTTTTTGCTCATGATTATAGCGCATTATTCTTTTTGTCACTGTATGTATTAATGAGCAAATACATATCTGCACAACGAACGTCTTTATGATTATGATGTCCTCGTTTCGTTGTATGTTATAAATTTAATATCATGACGAGAAGTGCGTCAAAAATATCTTAACATCAAAATGATTTCTGGTCATGTTTAACTATTTTAATTGAAGCCTTTTTACTTGATCTAATACTTTTATGAGGATGACATAGTCCGCAATAAACTTGACAAACATTATCATCCATACTATATGTCGTTGTTTATAACAATAATTACTCATGAACCTCACACTACAAGGACAACATTCATCCAGATTCTGAGATTGCTCATTCTCACGAAGCTTGGTGTACGCGAAGATATCGGGAAAGAAAGCGGTCTGTAATACCAGACACGCAAGTGGGGTATTTCGGTCCCCGTTCACCGAAAAGTGAGATTCTCCATTTGAAAGTCGGGTAAGGTCGACAAATATAGCCTCTGTTAAAGGCGTTACTCCACCACCCAATTCGGAACAGCTTGCCACATGCAGTATCGTGAATGCGCCCGGCACTCTGAGCGGCCGTTTTTCAGTGTATTTTCTGTTAGTGTTCTTAAAAATTTGCCGTGTCGTTTGATCAAAGAGGTACTGGGCAAGCTTGCCTATTAATGATTTGGTTCAATACATAAGCCATCTAACCTTTATGTAATGATTATATTTATGCAGAAAAACTAAAATACTTGTGACAGTGCGATTATTTCAAGTCGCCCTTTTTAGGTTATTATGCAGCAACATGACCAATGAAAGTTTGGTCCAGTTAACGCTTGTTGGTTGGTGGTTTTTTTAAAGTTTATTTGTCCAATTAACTTCTTTATCTTCTCAATGTTTCCTTTCCATCTTTCCTCATGTTTTTCACTATTATCACCTTTGTTCTACATACCTTTCGGCTGATATTATTCTTTATTTTTCTCCTTCTTTCAACATCTCTTTTCTAATTTTCATTATATATTTCTTTATTTTCTCCTAATTTTATCTTCTTTAGCCATCTTTCCTTATGCCCTTCTTTATTTTCTCCGTCTTTCTAATTTTCATCTTTCCTTATGTATTCCTCTATTTTCACCTTGTTTTATTCTCTCTATCTTTTCTCATGTATTTCTTTATGTCTAACCTTCATTATCTTCTGTTTCCATCTTTCCCTGTGTATTTCTTTTTAAACCTTCTTTTATCTTCCTTTTCCATCTTTCCTTATGTTATTCTTTATTTTCTCCTAATTTTATCTTTTTCATCTTTCCTTATGTATTCCCCTATTTTCACCTTGTTTTATTCTCTCTATCTTTTCTCATGTATTTCTTTTTTTTCTAACCTTCTTTATCTTCTGTTTCCATCTTTCCTTATGTATTTCTTTTTAAACTTTTTATCTTCCTTTTCCATCTTTCCTTATGCTATTCTTTATTTTCTCTTCCTTCTTTCCCTCCAGTTCCATCTTTCCTTATTATCACCCGTCTTTCCCTATTTTATCCTCCCTTTATATTTTCCTTCTGCATTTTTCCATTGCCAAGCACATCAATGTTCTCTTCTATACATAAAAGAAACTTAAATAGCTAGTACTTGCTAAAAAAAAACAATATGAAGTGAGACTTTAGACACACTGAATCCAGGCCTATTATAAATATAGGTGTAGGGTCTGCGATGAGAAGACTATAAATCTGGACTGGATATCAGATACCAGCTGGTAATCCCTTTATCAGTAACTAGGCTATGATTGACCACTGTCTCTCTCCCCATGGACCCTACTGGTAATCCCTTTATCAGTGGTCAGTGCTCCTATCAGATTATGGTAGCTCCAGGAAAAGTGGTGAACTGGTGAGCAGAGCTCAAATGAGATGTTTTCCTAATGAAAGCTAAAGTAATATCAGTCTTGAAAGGGAGCTATACAACATAAAGAGTTTATTATTTACAATTTCATCACTCAACCACGACACTGATCATTGAATAGTGTAGAATCGCATATGCTTCCAATATGTTCATTTGAACTAGATTCATGACCCCATACCAAAACTTTGTAATACGTTTAATATCAGGGTGGACTTACTCTGGAGCTGCTAATGTACATACCATTCTCATCAGTCTCCTGTGAACAGGGCTGTCCTCCATTCACCGGAAGAGTCAGGACACGTTTGGTCCTGGTCCTCTTGGCATGTAGACCACACGATGCACTGCAGGAGGACCAAGTACTCCATGGGCTCAGTTCGCAGTCCTGAGGACAGGCTACGTCGCAGGGCCTAGAACCCTCAGGCAGGGACCAACCGTCACACTGGCTTGCATCAGCAACCGATCCTATATGAAAGACATAGAAGGCTCAATTTCATTGTGTATTCTGCATGTGTAAAAAGTGTATTCTGCATGGGTAAAAAGTGTATTCTGCATGTGTAAAAAGTGTATTCTGCATGTGTAATAAGGGTATTCTGTATGTGTAAAAAGTGTATTCTGTATGTGCAAAAGTGTTTTCATGAAAATATTTAATAATAATAATAATAATAATATAAATTTATAACGCGCACGTATCCGGAACTTCCGATCAAGGCGCGACAGACAAAAATGATGCAGATTACACAAAACAGTTCAACAGATATTATTTCTACACGTAATTAAACTTAAATCTTAGATAAACAGGAATTCAAATCTTATATATACAGAAATTCAAGTATTGGAGAAACAGATATAAATACATAATACAGTTCAACATAATAGAGTTCTTTAGGTAATTAAACTTAAACATCAGATAAATAAAAACGCTTTCAACTGGGATTTAAATTGTTCTGTGGATTCTAATTGTCTAAGATGAGAAGGAAGAGAGTTCCAGAGGGTGGGTGCAGCTTTTGCGAAGGACCTGTCTCCGTACGTAACTGTTCTTGTCATTGGCACAACTAATCTCGTAGCCTCTGAAGACCTCAGTGACCTCACTGACTGCGTTACTGATACCATCTCAGAGAGGTACTGGGGGGCCTGACCATGCAGAATCTTGAAGGTAGTCAGACAAATCTTGAACACGATTCTCTTCTGTACCGGTAGCCAGTGCAATTGACGAAGGATATGACTTATTCTCGCATACTTCCCTGCCTTAGTAAGAACACGGGCTGCGTTGTTGTGTACTCGCTGCAAACGAGAAATGGCTGAGGAAGGGACACCGACCAGGAGGGCGTTACAGCAGTCCAATCTGGAAGTTACCAAGGCATGGATGATCTGTTCTGTAGTCTGCTTCGACATGTATTTACGGATTCTCCTGACATTCCGAAGGTGGAAGTTTGCACTTCTGCAAATGGATGAAACCTGCTTTTCCATATTGAACAGATGGTCAAAGACGACTCCCAAATTCCTAGCTGAACTTGATGGAGAGATAGTATGACCACCAATGTTCAGGTTTCGAGGGTGAAAAGTTGAGTGATTGTGACGAGATCCAAGCACCAACATTTCAGTCTTTTCTGGGTTCAGTTTAAGGAAATTAGAACTCAACCATGCTTGTATGTCACTCATACACGATTCCATCTGATCGAAGGTAGCCGAAGCATCCCCTGGACGAAATGTGAGATAGAGTTGGGTGTCATCAGCGTAGAAATGAAACTGAACCTGATGGTAACGAGTGATGTCTCCAAGTGGTAATATGTAGATAGTAAAGAGTACCGGGCCTAAGACCGACCCCTGAGGTACCCCACACTTGAGAGGACAAGGTTCAGATATATTGTTACCAATACGCACCACCTGAGATCGGCCAGAAAGGTATGATTCAATCCAACGCAAAGCTGAACCTTTTACACCAAGCCTTTTGGATAGTCTTTGAAGTAAGACATGATGATCGATGGTGTCGAACGCAGCGGATAAGTCCAACATGACAAGCAAGACCATTTGGTGCTTGTCGATAGCAGTGAGAATGTCGTTTGAAACTTTCAAAAGAGCACTTTCGACACTATGCCCGATCTTATACGCCGACTGCATGACTTCCATGAGGTGGTTGAATTCCATGTAGTCCACCAGCTGATGAAGAACGACTCTCTCAAGAACTTTTGAAGCGAATGGCAGATTTGAAACAGGCCTGTAGTTAGAAAGCTGTTCAGGATCTGAGCCAACCTTCTTCAGCAGGGGAATGACCACGGCATGCTTGAAGTCATCAGGTACTTCTGAGGCCTGAAGAGATGAATTCACTATGTTCATGATACCACAAGCAAAAGTTGCTGATAGTTGTTTAATGATCCATGTTGGAACAGGATCCAACTGACAAGATTTGTTTGGAGAAGTACGTATTATCCGTATAATGTCTTCAATCTCAGCAGGCTCAAATGTTGATAGTTCAGAATCACAAGCCGATGCATTTCTCAGCCCACGGTTTTCGGGCCGCTCTTGTCTACTCTCAATTGTCTCTCGTATTGACCGAATCTTATCCAAGAAGAATGCACTAAACTGATTAGCTAACTCCTCATCATCATCGTGAGAAGGAAGAGCAATAGTCTTGGATGGACTCAACAAGTCATTAATATATAGAGACGCTTGGGATCTTTTCCGCACTCCGATATTTTGCTAGCTATGTATCCACTCTTTGCCTGACACATCATTGCATTGAGTTGATTTCTCATAGCAATGAAGACTTTACGAGTCTCCTGACATTTTGAGGACCGCCAGCGTCGTTCTGCTCGTCGTGTTAACTGTTTCTTATGCCTGATGTCGTTGTTGTACCATGGGATGTGCTGACGCAGGACAACGTTACGACACTTAACAGGTGCATGAAGATCCAATACTTCAGAGAGACGAGAATTGTATGCCGAGACAACCTGTGATGTATCACTGAAACTGTCCAATGTAGATAGAGATGTGTAGCCCATATTAAAAAAAAATGGAATTAAACTTTTGAGTTTTGACTCATACTCCTTGTCTCATCAATTTCTTCATAATTGGCAATTTTTTGTATTGTAATTAAATTTAATGCATGAATCTTTGTTCAGTATTTCAATAGTCAGAATGCGAAATGCATACATTCTGTGATGTTTGGTAGGTCAAGCCATAATGTTTGTCTTCCTTAGCAATAATATTTGCATTATGACTACCGGTATTGAGATACAATTATTCGTCAGATGATGGACAAATTTGTAATATGGCACTCAACACAAATTTGTGCATTAAATTTGTTTTACATTACGAAAATGGCCTATTGCTGAGCTTTATCATCTTCAAAGCCAAATACTGACCAAATTTTGAGTGTTCAACAATATTTACGGACAAAATATGTCTACATGTCTTCTTCCTGATAGAGAAATAATGACAGTGTACGTTCATTTTAAAATTTGTACATGAACAATAATGCTTCTGTTTTAACAGTAAACAAATCTAAAATCATTTTGAATACCAGGGTGAAAAAAAAGCAAATACCCGTTTCCATTTCACAGCCTACGTCCCTTGACTCCATTCCAATGCCCTCTCCACAGCTGGCTGTTCCATTCATTAAACATCCTCCCACTCCAGTACCTCCTCCTCCACAGTTGGCTGTTGAATTCATTTGACATTCTCCCCATGCAGTGGCCTGCCATGAGTATGTGTGGCACGATACATGGATATTGCAAGGTTTGCTTTGAGTAAGTTCTTCTTCAGAAAGGCACGGATTGAGATCTCGGTTGTATGGGTACGCTAGGTGAAAAGAAAATTACGTGTCATATCATTATGTAAACTTCACATCTAAAGTGCCACTGCACTACTTATAGCTACTTGCGCCCTCTATATAGCAAACAATGCCTAATAGGAGCCTGTTGGTCCCCCATGATCCCCTTTTTCTTATGTTAATTGAGAGCTTATTTGATGTGATAACCACCTGTCAGTGACCTTGCAGGGAGGTCTTATCCCCCCTGGCCAAACTAGTGCAGACAGGCTTTAAGAGTTTGTGCAGAGAGCAATTCAAGAGATAATATTAAAATAATAACCCTGAAAAAAGGGGGAAAAAATTCTTTTGAATTTGAATCAGAATTTGTGCCGTTATTCTAATCTATCATACTCAAATGATATCATTTATCATCTACAACCTTTGTCTGTTTTGAAGGAAATCGCAAAAAATGATTTCATTTGAATTCAAATCAGAGTTTGTGCTGTTATTCTAATCTATCATACTCAAATGATATCATTCATCATCTACAACATTTGTCTGTTTTGAAGAAAATCGCAAAAAATGATTTCATTTGAATTCAAATCAGAGTTTGTGCTGTTATTCTAATCTATCATACTCAAATGATATCATTTATCATCTACAACATTTGTCTGTTTTGAAGAAAATCGCAAAAAATGATTTCATTTGAATTCAAATCAGAGTTTGTGCTGTTATTCTAATCTATCATACTCAAATGATATCATTTATCATCTACAACATTTGTCTGTTTTGAAGAAAATCGCAAAAAATGATTTCATTTGAATTCAAATCAGAGTTTGTGCTGTTATATTCTAATCTATCATACTCAAATGATATCATTTATCATCTACAACCTTTGTCTGTTTCAAGCAACAAGGACAAGTTTGTATTCATTATTTGTTTTGGTTTTGTAAAAAGCTCTTACAATTCAGACCGTTGAAGAAGCTACATAAATTAAGCAGTTCTATTAGAAACGACTATCAAAGTAACGCACATTTTCACAGAAATTTCTAAACTAAATTGATTAAATGGTCATATTAATGAGATTTTTCATTCTTGGATCAAATAAATTGAAAAAAGGCATAGATGTATGCCATATGGGAAGCACTACACAAAATCCAAACTGTTAGATAGCATATCAATAATCTGCTACATTTGATGGAATTTAGCAAAAATGCATCATGTACAGTTTTAAAGAGAAGGTTGAGTACTGGGAAGAGGTGAAAAATAATTTGTGAGCGTTATCATTGTTATTATGCAAGTGTGGAAGAACATCAGATAAAAAATGTTCCCTTAAAAGCATGGCTCTTCAAATGCCTTCATATTCTGAATATGGCATGTACCAGCATTAAAATCGGGACAGATTTTTATGCCACATGTTCGTGTAGTCCCATATATATATATATATTTCTGTGTACGGTGCTTGTTACTTTACCAAGACTGGGCCAATGGCATGATCAGAACTCAACATTATCTTTAAGCACCTGCTATTCTCCTGCTACTCTTGATGCTTAGCCTTTCTTACCCACAATTCTCCTCGATCTCTTCCGAGCGCCTCCGTTCGGTCCACAAGACACCGAGCAGGCCCCCCAGTCAGACCACTCGGACACCACGCAATCCTCTGCGCAAGGTACGCTACACGTTCCCTGTCGATCCGGCTTCGTCTTGCCAGCGCAGTAGGACGCATCAACGCGCTTATTGAGAGCGTTCATGCAGTACACGGCCCTGTGGCGCTTGCCAGGTCCGCAGTCATCGTAACCTCGGTCCAGGAAGCATTTTGTCCATCGTCCTGTGGAATGGAAGGAAGACGATGAAAAAGATTTAAGCGGGGGTTCTCAAACATTTTTCCTTAAAGGAACTTGGTAACATTGTTCAGATGAGAGAAAGTGGTGCTAAGGTAGTGACTTCAATGCTAGATGTACAATTAAAGATAATCTGAAAGTTTGAGTGAAAACGGACCATTATTAATGATACATAATGGGAAAAACTGATCTGATCGATTCCTTAATTTTCCCAACTATCTTATTACAATTCAATTAAATTTTACGTGAATGTTAATTGTCACGCAGCAATAAGTTGGCTCTATATACCATTCCAGACATTTAAGTGTTGAAAGAATGTTAAAAGCCCGTCTTATGTCTTTTTTCATAAACATTATGGAGAGCCATTTGTAGCCTTAAAATAAAATATATTCATAGGTGATCATTCAAGTATTTTAGACTTTTTATAAATTCCACATCAAGAACACGAAATCTCCTTGATAATAGAAAATATGAATGATTTGAATCAACATTTTATGCCTTTTAAAATAACTTTTACAAAACATTTTTAAAGATGCTAATGGTTTTCCATAGTTGTTAAGTCCAACTTAGAGATAAGTTCAACTTAGTATCTTTGTGAAACACCCCCTGGGGAGTGTTTCACAAAGACTAAGATCGAATTTAAGTTTAACTTAACTATGGCAGGCCTTTTGTGCCTCTAGTTCCTCTAACCATTCCTGGCATTGATTTCTCAAGGGACGTAGAAACCGTGGTCACAAATCTACAGAATTTACCTGATTTGATAATTCATTATTGAAGGAAAAAAATTTATCTAAAAATCATAATTAAGAGAACAATGGTGAGAGCAACCAGTGGCATGAATAGCCTGCCAGAGTTTAGTTCAACTTAAAATTGATCTTAGTCTTTGTAAAAACCCCCCCCCCCCCCCCCCCCCTGGGACTATCAAACAGCTTTTAACTGTTTTTTACTTTTGAAACTCATACAATATTTTGAATATAGTATTGCGATATGGGAATACCAACATACTGGGAAAAAATCTTTTTTGGTGGTGATTGATACATCCTCCTCATCATCATTTCTTAAAGTCAGCATTTTCTCTCTTACGCGGGGTTACTGACTTTCGCGCCATGATGACACTCATTGCACTCCCTCCACTTCTTCTTTTTTCAAGCTCCAATTTCATAAATAAATTTGATTTGATTTGATTTAATTTGATTTATACAAGAACCATATCTTGTAAAGACTAAAAGACGGAAGGGGATACTGACTTTCACGCCATGATGACACTGCTCCCTCTACTCCTTGAGCTCCATTTTAATAAATCAATTTGATTTGAATTATACAAGAACCATTTTGTGAATGGGAAGGAAAGAAGATAGGGGGTGGGGATGGGGGTGATTAAGTTCAGGATGTACGAGTAACAAAGGAGGTGTATTATAATACACTATGAGTCAATGGAGGTTACGCGGTGAAGCACTTGACAATAATATCCTGTTGTAATGAATTGTTCTTGGGATAATGAACTTTCCTACAAGTGCATGTATGGTATCCGTCATGTGATAATTAGATCTTGTGATCACTAAGAACTCATTAACTGTCAATGTGACGAAGGGCAATTACTACCCACTGAGTTCAGGTTTTTGTACACTAAACTAGAAGATGTAGATGTAAAATCCCTCTCTCAAACTCCAAATCCAAAGACTGATGGATGAACTATACAAAATTAGAACCAGTCAACTTTAATAGTCAAATGATTGACAAACTGTTGGAGAGTCTTCAGTTGAGGGAAATGTATATAAGGGCGATTGGTGGAAAATGCAGAGCATTACACAAGACCTCTTGGTCATAAAACTGAAGGCTAATCCTGATAACTGACAACACCTTCTATTGGGTAAACATGCGAGTGGTGTCAAATTCCCCCTGAGGGCTAGCCTACTACTATAGGCCTGTCCTCATCAGCTCGAGATTGAAAAATAGCCCGCTTTTTCTGATTTGGGATATAATCCAGAAGTTACAAATCCTGTCTTCATCAGCTCGAGACTTGACCTTGAAACTTGATACTCGAGCTCGAGAAATTAGGTTAAGATATTTTGCTCAACGTTCGCACATAGTGCGAGTCTTTGGGCTGGTGATGCGCCGCACCAGACAAATAGTGGGATATTTTGCCAAATAGCGGGATATTTTGCAAACTAGCCCAAGATATCTTGGGATGATTATCTCGACCAAATATTCTGCTAATTGCAACTTTGGGCTGATGAAGACGCAAATTAACTGGATAATTTGCAATCAGGATATTTGGCAATCTTGAGCTGATGAAAACAGGCCTAATGTGTCTTTAATAGTTAGGGCTTACCTGTATGCCACCAAGCGCACTCTATGGCCTCGCAGGCCCTCAGTTCAACCTGAGAAGGGCACTCCTGGCCCCCAAACACATTCTCAACTAGCACCTCCCTGTAGCGCATTTGAACAGCGCCCTCTCCACAGCTCTTTGTACAGGATGACCAGTGCGACCAGTGACCTACTTCACAGTCAACAGGGCAGTCCAGGTAGCAGGCTCGATTGGCAACGGGTTTGAACAGGCTAGCAGAATCTAGGGTTAAAACAAAAATCAAAATCATGAAAGAAGGATGAAATAGCTAATTATGAACTTTGACCTGTACAGTGCTATCGAGGCTATACACATTGCTCAGAAAGATTCCAGGAGACCAGTAACCTACAATGTACATGTATGTCATAGTCCAGGTAGCAGGCTTGATTGGCAACAGGTTTAAACAGGCTAGCAGAATCTAGGGTTAAAACAAAGCAAAAAGCAAAACACAAAACAAAGCAAAACAAAAGTGTTTATAATGAATGAAGATGAAAAGTCAAGTTTTGAACCTTGACCCCTGCAATGGCACATAGTCTACAGATATATCACAGAAAGATTCCATGACACCACTGACCTAAAATAAAACTTCATAGTCCATGTAGCACACTTGATTGGCAGCAGGGTTGAAAAGAATAGCAGAATCCAAGGTAAATTTGAAGAAAAAATTATCATAATTGAAACATGACCTTTGACCTCTACATTACCATATCTGCCAACTTTCTACTAATAAAATTGGGAATCTCTGAAACAAACGAATACTGTGTATTTTAGGAGTGTTTATATACAGATGTTTAAAAAAAATAAGAGGAATATAGGGCTCATTAAATTAGTTAGAGGGCATAAAAATAGGAATCATTCCGCCAAAATAGGAATAATTGTTAAATATGTAATACCAGCAAGTCTTAGAAACATATGTCGAAATGATTTCATAGAACCAGTGACACAGTCAACAGGGCAGTTCAGTTGGCAGGATTGACTGGCAGCACATTTGAAAAGACTAGCAGAATCAAGGGGTTAAACAGAAATACATTACAGTTTGTCATGAATGAATAAAGAGTCCAATTACAAACTTTGAACCCATTTAATGTACAGGTACTTCCCTGTATGGAGTCAAGAAGTTACTCGAGTATTGTATTTTTCTTTTATTGAAACATTGTTCTTATAAAAACATGGATTTTTAAAGAATACATAGAAAATGGTATCCCAAAAAGTTAAATAATTGCCACTTTCTATGGAAAAAACATAGTTTTGAACGTTTTTAATCCCTCCCCCATGAACAGGCTAAGTATGAACCTACTATTCAGGTGGCATGAGGATCAACAGCAGGCAAGTTAAGAGTCAATAACAAACCAGAGTAATTATCTCTGACACAGGAAGCGTCATATAATTGTATTAATTTCATGTAGTCATTCTGGAATTCCTGTATCGAATGGACTCATTGACCTGTAGTTAAAACAACAGATAACTTAATGCTGGAATCATTAAATTGATTAGATTTTACAGCCAAATAAATATACTTATAGGTAGTCTTGAATGAGTTGTTACCCATAAGAGGACACCAAAAGGATACACGATGGCTAAAATTAGGTCACTAGTGTGCATGCTTGGGGGTGGGGGCTACTGCCACCCCCCCCCCTTTTTTTCTCCTCCTCCTCCTCCTCCTCCTCCTCCTCCTCCTCCTCCTCCTCCTCCTTCTTCTTCTTCTTCTTCTTCTTCTTCTTCTTCTCCTCCTCATTATTATTATTAATAATATTATTATTATTATTATTATTATTATTCTGTGTCTTCCTTCTCCTCTTCCTCCTGCTCTCCTCCCACTCCCCCTTCTTCTCTTTCTCTCTATCTCTTGTTTTGTTTTTGTTCTTTCTTTCTATACAATAGGTACCTCATCGATCTTTACTACAGGTGGAAGTGATGTCACTATATACACAAACCTTAGACTAGATTTCCTCTATTAATAACAATCAGTATCTAGGCTCACTATCAATACCTCAAATCAAAGCCCCGATTCAAAATAAACAAATTGACTGACATGGCTGAAGTATATTTTGGCTAAAAACAGCATCAGAGGAAACGATCCATAACACCTAATAACCTTACACTATTTCCTCTTTACAACGTGTGGGATGAACATCAGATAAATACGTGCAATTTGAGAGCTGACAATCTAGAAGCCTGAAATCCTTTCAGATGATCAGTATTAAAGCATATAGAACATCAAAAAAGAAAGAAAGAATGAAAGTACTGGTAAGAAAGACAGAAAGAATGAAAGAAAAACCTTTCCATGTCCTTCTTTAGTTGAACATGGTGTCTCTCATTCTTTTATAGACTAAAATGTGATAGGTCCCAAAATTTCTGCTTCAAAAGTGAATAAGGATAATGTAGTATATCACAATAAAAGAGATCAGATCATTATTCGGATTCTCAAATTCTCAACATAGAAAATTTGATTTCTTTGCCAATTTTGGAAGTGTCAATATACAAAAAGGAGTTTCAAGCACAGTCCGCTCAACTGAAAAATCTGTAAATAATACAATGCAGTAATGTGAATAATATTGAACACACTCCTGGGCCCCGTCTTACAAAGAGTTGATATCAATCACAACTTATCGGCGATTAATATCAATCGGAACTATGTACTTATAAGAGATAGGAGACTGCAAACTTGCTATTGATTGGATAACTTGTGATTGATTTGGATCAATCGCAACTCTTTGTAAGGACCCAAATGACAACTTTTCTGGTTTATTCTATTCTGTTTCCTCACTCACGTGTGAATGAGGTTTAATCTTTCCATTACTCAAGTATGAACAGGGTTTCATCTTCCGAAACTATTCGGCCCACGGGGATTACTTGCATAATATACAAGGTGTCTGGCCCAAGATGATCGTCTCATTATTGCCACCTACTTGAAGATTACTTGACTAGCATGAGGGCTTTCACGGATCAGAGAAGTAGGACAAATTGATACTTCCCCTTCATTTCCTGTTCCCATCAGGCCTGTCTTATCTCAACCTAACAAATTAGACCACCGGTCAGCTAGCAGGGGTGCGTTCACTCTAGCTCAAGATAGCGATTTTCAATTTGAAGGAACCAGAAAATACAAGAGAAAAAAGAGGAGAGAAAACAGAAAGAAAAGAACAGATGTGTTCATTCTTGCCCAGGATAGCAAATTTCAATTCAAAGGAACCAGAAACTATGAAATTATAAATATGGTTAGCATAGGTGCATTTAGTCTAGCCCAGGAGAGCGATTTCAATTCAAAGCAAACAGAAAATAAGAAGTACCACAAACAGTCGGTAGGGATGCGATTACTCCAGCTCAAGATACCAATTTTTAAATAAAAGTAAACAGAGAATAAAAATAAGACAGGGTCGACAGGAGTGCATTCACTCTAGCATATAGGGCAGAGATTTCCAATAAAAAATGAAAAAATAAAATGATCATCAGACAAACGTCAACATATCAATATGAATTACAAATTCTATATACTATATGTATGTAGGTTTGTGCATGTGTGTTTTCTTTTGGAGAGGGGGTGGGTACGGACTACATACCAGAATTAAAGCAGAGTTCATCAGCTACTGGTGTCAAGACATCGATACCACCATCCACACAGAACACCTGCCTAGTCTCAATACCAGCCCCACAGGTTGCACTGGAATTCAGGGTTACTCGGCACTGCTGCCAGTCCTAGAATAAACAAAATAAAAAAGCAAAAGAAAGGCTAGTTGTCTCAACTTTTTATGAATTCCAGTCATTGTAATATCTTACAGGGATCTCCTATAGAATATAAAATGAGGGATGCAATCAATAAAGAACTTTGCTTTTCATATCTTCCATCATCTATATCAATACCATCATCACTTCCATCACCAACATCACCATAGCAACCCTTACCCCCAACATCTTTTTCCTACTTGTAGATATGTACCACTCATACTGACGGCACGCTGTCATACAAATGAAAATCATCTTGGTCAAAACCACCATCACCTCCGTCATCGTCACCACCATAATCATCACCACCATGATCGTCATCATCACCACCATCACCATCATCACCACCATCACCATCATCACCACCATTATTAAATTCACCATAGCAACAAAATGTTAATGCAAACATCTTTGTCCAACCTTTAGATAGCCCTCACACTGATGATCACCTCTGTTCAAACCTCCACCACCGCCACCATCATCGTCATCATCATCATCACCATCATCACCAACACCATCACCATCATCACCATCACCATCACCATCATCACCATCACCATCATCATCATCATCACCATCATCATCATCATCATCATCATCATCATCATCATCATCATCATCATCATCATCATCATCATCATCATCATCACCATCACCAACGTAACCTACCATAGATACCATTTGTAATGAAGGAAAGCTGTGTTGACCACGACAACCAGTGTCAATACCATCATCATCACCATCTCCATCTCTAACATTAGCATAATCATCACTTTCATCATCATTATCATCATCATCATGTAAATTGGTACCTGGCAGGAATTAATTCTTTGAGATGCTAGAGCGCTGCAATGGCTGCACAGCTAAAGCCGGGGTAATAATCTCCAAGTTTGGAAGCGCTTAGTGATTCTAATAAGCGCTTCATAAAAACTGAGTTTTATTATTATCATCATCATCATCATCATCATCATCACCATCATCATCATCATCAACAACATCAATATCACCACCAAAGCAACCATTAATACCAACATCTTTCTCCTACCTGTAGATACCAGTCATACTGAGGGCATGCTGTCATGTTTTGAATCAGACATGGTTGATGATCTTCCAGAGTGGGGCACGGAAGCCCTACATGTGAAGCTGCCCTTAGCACCCTCCGCGACCTCAGCCTGTTTGAAGAAAAAACATTGATATGATAAATAATTCCTAAAATTCATGCTCAGTCAACAAACAGATATTCAACTGGTGCTAATCAAGCCAAGTCCATTACCATTACATGCCTTTATTTGACATTCAGCCTTGAATATCCAGTTTAAATTGTACATTGACAATGTACAATGTATATCTTATTGTGATGCATGTATTCTCACTTATAATTCTACAATGCTTTGTTTTGATTGTTAATTATAATGCTGTAATTCAATGAGAAAAAAACATTTGTTTTAAATAGAAGAAAAACCCTAAAGACATATTCAATATTGTATCTACATGTATATCACTAAACAAAAATAATGCCCTTCCTGATAATCCTGAATATGTACACACTGCAATGTACATGCACTTTATCTAACTGTTGTTTTTAAAACAATACAATTAGTAATTTTGGATTCTTCATTTGTACTCTGATCGTACTACACAAGTACATATTTCGGATTACTTTTAAATATCGAACTAGTATACAGATCTGTAACCATTTCACAAAATGAAAAGAGAATACCAGTATGACACCCTTCTCGATGAATCATAGATAAAATATGTAGTCTACACACTGCATGAATATAGTTTCTCTATCTGCTTCTATTTCATATTTGGGCTGGGCCATTTTGAACGTTCTGTCAACATCATAAATCTTACCTGTGACCTACAACCTCTTGAGCGGTGGGGTCATGGCAGGTCACGGAGCATTCACCCCAGGTTGACCAGAGAGAGACGATGCAGTCACAGGGAACGGTGCAGATCTCTTGTCTCGCTGGCTCAAAGTTGACCGTTTGAAGAACGTTTTCAATCTCTGATATTAAAGACAGAATATTAAGTAAATGCAGTGAACAACTACATTATTCATTCCCTTACCAAGTGTTGTAATTGTTGAAGTATTTGATTGAAAAAAATGATTTGCCTTCATTCATGTTGCTCAAGAATGTGACATATCAAAGCTTATATTTAGGAGTATTCAACAAAGGCCCTAATTCAACCAATTCACCTTTCATTCTTGAGTTACAAAAAAACATTGAATTTACAAGCGATATGAATCATTTAGCTGTCAACTGTAAAAAAAAATATTAAAAAATAATAATATTTAATTTTTATATAGCGCTTAATACAAATGTCTCTAAGCGCTTTACAAATATACAAGGGTGGCTTTGACAAAGAAAAGAAAAATCACAATTTTTAATCATTGAAAGAAAAGGGTCATGAAAAGCAAGTTAATTTGAATACAAAGTAGGGGAAAAAATACCTTGCTTGTACTTTTTAATGGAAATTCTTTTTATCTTAGCCAGACTTCAACAACTCCTCTTTGACTTGTGAACATGTCTAGAGATGAAGGGAAAGATGGGTAATAATGGAAAGAGGATGATGAGATGGAGGGTTTACCTGATTCTCTATTCTCTAGACATCTTTCACCTTCTACTATCTCTCCTATGTCATCTACACAGTCGACCTGACGGTACCTCTGGCCAACCATGCATGAGCTGGGCGCAGCACTGTCAGGCTGTATAAACAGAACATCAAACATCGTTATGGTTTATAGATTAAATAATTATATATACGAGAATATACGTATACTGTACGTATCTATATTTTTATAAGGATAAGAATATCAAGATTAAGTAGAATAAGAAGATGATAGTAGGAGGAGGAGGAGGAGGAAGCAGAAGAAGAAGAAGAAGAAGAAGAAGAAGAAGAAGAAGAAGAGACAGAAAAGAAGAAGAAGAAGAAGAAGAAGAAGAAGAAGAAGAAGAAAAGAGAAAAGAAAAAGAAGATGATGAAGAAGAAGAATAAGTAGAAAAAGAAGTTAGAAGAAGTAGAAGCAGAAGAGGAAGACGAAGAAGAAGACAAAGAAGAAGAAGAAGAAGAAGAAGAAGAAGAAGAAGAAGAAGAAGAAGAAGAAGGAGAAGAAGTAGAAAAAGGAGAAGTAGAAAAAGTAGTACAAGAAGAAGAAAAAGAAGAAGAAAAAGAAGAAGAAAAAAATAAGGGCTCTTGGTAAGTTTAATTTGTATTTTAAATTGCCATTTTCATTTTGAATCACAAAAGGACTGATGTACATGTACATGTATACGGCTAGTGGTTGTATGTCACTGGACAAGCATTCAATCTGTAGTACTATGAGGTATTAATGCACTTTGTTAATTTCAATGTCTGGTAGAAAGGCAAGTCCTAAAACTATATCCATTCCATGACCTTCTTAAGCATCTACAGAGATAGAAAGGACATCCTCTAGACAAAAATGGACAATAACCGACATGTTAGACATACATGTGGACCCTAAAGAAACAGGTAGAAGTGTCACAACTTTGAATTCATACTAAATCTAGCATTCCCCCATCCCATATCTCATGATTTAGATAAAAATGGCAGAAATTTCCTCTGTGGCCGTTTTTGTAACTTTTTAGAGTGATTGTTTTAGTGATGAATGTGAAGTCCAAATCACCAACAGCCCCTATATTTTCTTCTTCTTCTTTTTTTCCTTCTACTACTTGTTCTCCTTGTTTCTCTTTTCATCAACATCTTATTCTACTTCTTCTTATTACTTAGTATTCTTCTCCTCCTTCTTTTTCTTCTCTCCTCTGCTCCTTCTTCTTCTTTTTCTTCATCTTCTTTATCATAATCCCCTTTTTCTGTTGGGGGGGTGGAAATTTTCTGGCTTTTTTCCATTTAAAAAAAATAAAAAATTTGGAAACTTTGGAAAACTTAAGATACAAGCAGTGTTTCTTCATAAATTAAAGCACAGAATTACATATACACAGGTATCACTTCCCCTTTCAGCTTGTAAGTTTAAAAATCTAAATAGGCCCCTGATGAGACACCTGCTTCAATGAAACGTGTAGACACACCACTGGTCAGTCAGGTCTAATTTGGTCCATCACGGACCAGACACGATTGGATCTCAATCATGGTCCAGCAGTTAAACGTTCAGACGCACCACTGGTCAGTCAGGTCTAAATTGGTCCATCACAGACCAGACAAGATTGGATCTTAATCACGGTCCAGCAGTTAAACGTTCAGACGCACCACTGGTCAGTCAGGTCTAATTTGGTCCATCACAGACCAGACAAGATTGGATCTTAATCATGGTCCAGCAGTTAAACATGTAGACGCACCACTGGTCAGTCAGGTCTAATTTGGTCCATCACGGACCAGACACAATTGGATCTTAATCATGGTCCAGCAGATGGTCCATGTAATGGATTCTGACATGATTAGGATATCTTACATCTGATTTAATAGAGAAAAGGTGGATCCTCATTAGCCCAAAACAAGCTACCTTTACCTGAAGTCTTTCAGTCCAGATTCTGTCCATTTTTATATATTTTGTATTCTTTAATCATCTATGTCCTCCTCTCTCAATACACGCATCTCGCATAGATCGCACGACTTCAAAAATACATCCGGTGAGGGTAAGCATGAAAGGCGAGGACTGTCTCTGTTTTACAGTGGACTAGGTGCATACATGTAGAACTCTACTTGGCCACACAGTAGGTTATTTTATACAGACTATTATGCTTAAAGGTAAAGACCAGTATTGGAATCGCCCCAATTCCAAAAAATGAAATGGAAGCTCTCATTTCCAATCATGTGAAAGAATATGTTTTGACTAATCATGATGATAAAAAATTTGCCGGGAAACCGCCTACTAATTCATATATTTGGTAAATTTGTTTCTCTCATGGTCTGTGAGAGATATAGGGTAGTCCCATATACATCTTTCTGTGTATAGTGCTTGTAACTTTACGAAGAATGGGCCAAATTTCTTATCATTTTGATGATTCCAGAACCTTGCAGATGCTAGATGCTAGATGATCAACCTTTTCCGATCGATTCCACAACGTTTCTTTCACAATGCAATCGCATGACCATAACTGGTCTTTACCTTTAAGATGATAGCTCAAACCAGGGCTCCAGCTGATTGATATTCCAGGAGCAAGAGTGAAATACCCTCACTAGCTGCCTGTTTGTATCTTTCACTGCAGATAACTATGCTATTTGCCTGTGACATCAGAATTAGTTGCAGGCTATTCTGAAATAGTGGCTAATGAAAACTGCCCTTAAACATCCATCCATTGGAATCTCTGGAATGAATTGACATCATTATGCTTACCTATACAGCTAAAGGTGTTTCACAGAGGGATTTAACTATTAGTTTGACCCTCGTATAATGTATGTATATAGTTTATCTACCTGCATATAGTCTATTTAGATTTCTCATAACACATGTATAAGAGCTAAGAAGTTTGACTCTTTGCTTCATTGTAGATGAATGGCATTTCCAAGCAATAATTTGCCAAATTTCATCCTCAGAAAGGCGATTTTCTTCTTGATCAAGCCGCCAAAGCATTTCCATTATTTGCATACATGTGAGAGATAAACAGAGCAATGATTCACCTCCTTCACATTAGGCCTGTCTTCAAAAGCTCGAGATTGCAAAATATCACACTATTTGAACTATCCTGATGGCAAAATATCCAGTTAATTTGCGTCTTCATCAGCCCGAAGTTGTAATTAGCAGGATATTTGGTAGAGATAATCATCCCAAGATATCTTGGTCTAGTTTGCAAAATATCCCGCTATTTGGCTATCTTCACCAGCGCTAGGACTCACACTACATGTATACGGCAATCTCGAGCTGATGAGGACAGGCCTATTAAATACTAACGTCCTTCTACATAAAGCTTACCCTCTCTCACACTTTCTGCCAGTTTCTATCTCTCTACTTTTCTCTCGCTATCTCTCTCTCGTTCTCTCTCTCAGCAATGTCATGTTAAGGCCGATGTTTTCGCAATGAAACTTGTTTACAGACAATTTGAAATTCCTGTGCATCATAACAGTTCTATTCAACTGTGCAGACCTGCAGAAATGCTTGTAAAAGTAACATGTTAACAAAATAACACCCTTGAATATATCCAACATATCATTGGTTTATTGGCAGAAACGCATTAACTGTAACTGTGTAAAAGCATATATATATACATGTAGGTCAACGGCCTTCTCAACTCTGGCTCTCTGCAGGCAATACATGTACATCAACTTTGTATGTATACATGATTCTCCTCACCAGGCAAAAGTCCTTTCAGAAGAATCATAGCCATACAATTACTCTACAATTATTCACCTCCCTTCCTTCTCTACTGAAACTGTAGTTTACATTAATTCATGCCCCATTTACCTGTACACAGAGAGTCTTCAAACTACATGTACAAAAGCATAAAACAAAAGTGATTTTCATGTTTTGACTTCATTTTCTATCTCTTTCGATTCTCCATTGCTATCTGTCCTATTGTTGATAAAAATCAACATAGTTCAGCATATACAAGAAAGCATGTGGAAATATCAAGCTATTGAACTACTTTACTTGTAAATATTAGTTTTAAAGCAAAATTTACAAGAGCATTAGAGCTTGTCAGTGTCAGTGATACGGTTCAATTCTTTGTTTAAATACAACCCATAGATAACAGACGTTTCATATGTTTTCTTTTTTTCCTCCAACCTCAATTACCACACACCTTTTAACACAGCATTTTAATTTTCCCACATTAATTTGTCATCACAATATATTACACTGCTGTTCGTTCTACACACAGTCTACACAGATGGTGTAACCTAGGAACCTTTTTATGAACTATTTTTAGTATTTGGGGTAATTAGAACGTTTCCTCGGGCATTCACCTGCAGGGGAATAACAGATACCACCTGGAGGAAGTCTACAGGCTATCCACAAATGCTATTCTCTTTAACTTTGTTTATATGCCACATACCCAATTTGTATCCATGTGCCACATAGCATTTATAATGGGATAGATACAGGTATACCAAATGCTTCAAGATTATTCAATTGTATCCAGTGCAAAAATAATGTATACCGGTATACAGTGTATTTAAAAAAAAAAAAAACCGAGAATTATCAATGTTTTATCATAACTTACTGGTAATCACAATTATAATTAATAAATGAAACATATTTGTAAAGTTTAGATCCTCCTCTTTCATCGGATGCAAGTCATATGATGCATATTCCACACATGAGTGATTAAAAACAATTTGAAGAGAGGAAACCAAAAGGTCATTTGGCGGGAGGTATCTGAATTTCAAAGAGAAAATCATATTTCTAGAAATTTCATTTTTGCCCTATCATATGACACCTCAATCAGGAAAAATGAGACCAGGAATAACAAAGTTCTGTCGGTTTAAGGTAATACTTGCATTTCCATAGTTCGATTAAATGAATTTGTTTTCACTTGCTGCCTGCCATAGCAACAGCGTTGACAAAAGACTTAACTCCGTTTCGTTGACGATCAGCCATGCTCTATGTGTCATTTATTAATTATAATTGCGATTAAGTTATGATAAAACGTCAATCATTCTCGGTTTCGTTTTTTCTGGGACACACTGTATACAGGTGTCAAAGGAGTTCTTATGGAGCTCTAATCAAGACCAGAGATTATGCAAAACCAAATGTTGAACTGCACAAAACAATCCTTCTATCAATTGGTACAG